AAACCAAACCCAAACCCAGCAGAAGAAAAGAAATAACAAAGATCAGAGCAGAACTAAATGAAAATGGAACAAACAAAAAAAAGCAATATACAAGATAAATGAAGCATAAAGCTTGTTCTTTGAAAAGATAAAATTGATAGTTAATTAGTGAGATAAACTAAGAAAAGAAGAGAGAAGAGCCAAATAAGCTCAATTTGAAACAAAAAGGGAGATATTACAACTGCTAACACAGAAATACAAAAGGTCATTCAAGGCTACTAAGGACACCTTCATGGGCACAAACTAGAAAACTTAGAGGAGATGGATAAATTCCTGGAAATATACAAACTTCCTAGATTAAACCAGGAAGAAGTGGGAACTTTGAACAGACCAATAACCAGAAGAAAGATTAAAATGATATTAAAAAATTGCCAGCAATAAAAGTCCAGGACCATACAGATTCACAGCTGAATTCTATCAAACATTCAAAGAAGAATTGCTACCACTCCCACTGAAACTATTCCAATAGATAGAGAAAGAGAGAATCCTTTCTAAATTATCCTATGAAGCCAATATTGCCCTAATATCAAAAAATAATAATAATAACATAGCTAAAAAAGAAAATCACAGACCAGTATCCCTGATGAATATAGATGCAAAAAATCCTCAACAAATACTAGCTAACCAAATTCAACAGCAGATCAAAAAGATAATCCATTATCATCAAGTGGATTTCATACCATGGATTTAGGATTCACTTAATATAGGCAAGTCAATAAATGTGATATACCACATAAATACAAGTAAAAATAAAAATTACCTGATCACCTCAATAGATGCAGAAAAAGCATTTGACAAAATACAGCATCGCTTTATGATTAAAATCCTCAACAAAATCAGCATAGAAGGGACATATGTTAAGGTAATAAAAGTTGTCAATGACAAACCCACAGCCAAATTGTACCAAATAGGGAAAAGTTGAAAGCATTGCTCCTGAGAACAAGTCAAAGATGCCCACTTTCACCACTTCTATTCAACACAGTACTTGAAGTCCTAGCCAGAGTGATCAGACAAGAGAAAGAAATAAAGGGTATCCAAATGAATAAAGAGGAACTCAAACTGTTGCTGTTTTCTGATAATGTGATAGTATGCCTAGAAAACCCTAAAGACTCTTCCAGAAATCTCCTAGATCTTATCAGTGAATTGAGTAACGTCACAGGTTACAAAATTAATGTATACAAATCAGTAGCACTGCTATACACCAACAGCAGCCAAGCTGAGAATCAAATCAAGAACTCCACCACTTTTACTATAGCGGAAAAATTAAAAAAAAAAAAAAAAACACTTAGAAATATACCTAACCAAGGACGTGAAAGAACTCTACAAGGAAAACTACAAAACACTGCAGAAAGAAATAATAGATGACACAAACTAATGGAAACACATCCCATGCCCATGAATGGGCAGAATCAATATTGTGAAAATGGCCATCCTGCTGAAAGCAGTCTACAAATTCAATGCAATTCCCATCAAAATACCATCATCGTTTTGACAGAACTAGAAAAACCAATTCTGAAATTCATGTGAAACCAAAAAAGAGCCCATATTACCCAAAGCAAGAGTAAGCAAAAAGGACAAATCTGGAGACATCACATTATCTGACTTCAAATTATTCTACAAGGCTATTGTCACCAAAGCAGCATGGTACAGGTATAAAAATAGGCACATAGACCAATGGAACAGAATAGCAAACCCAGAAATAAGCCCAAATACTTACAGCCAACTGATTTTTGACAAAGCAAACAAAAACATAAAGTGAGGAAAGGACACCCTATTCAACAAATGGTGCTGGGATAATTGGCAAGCCACAGGTAGAAGAATGAAACTATATCCTCATTTCTCACTGTATATCAAAATCAACTGAACTCAAGTTGGACCAAAGACGACCTGAAATCATAAACATTCTAGAAGATAACATTGGAAAAATTTTGCTGGATATTGGCTTATGCAAAGAGTTCATGACCAAGATCCTAAAGGAAAATTCAACACAAACAAAAATAAATAGATGAGACTTAATTAAACTAAAAAGCTTCTGCATAGGAAAAAAATAATCAGCAGAGTAAACAACCCAAAGACTGAGAAAAAATATTCACAAACTATGTATGTGACAAAGGACTAATATCCAGAATCTACAAGGAACCCAAACAAATCAGCAAGAAAAAAAAGCAAACAATCCCATCAAAAAGTGGGTTAAGGACCTCAATAAACAATTCTCAAAAGAAGATATACAAATGGCCAACAAATGTGAAAAAATGCTCAACATCACTAATTTTCAGGGAAATGCAAGTCAAAATGACAATGCAATACCACCTTATTCCTGCAAGAATGGCCATAATTTAAAAATCAAAGCATAATAAACGTTGGTTTGGATGTGATGAAAAGGGAACACTTTTACACCCCTGGTGGGAATATAAACTAGTACAACCACTATGGAAAACAGTATAAAGATTCCTTAAAGAACTAAAAGTAGATCTACCATTTGATCCAGCAATCCCACTCCTGGGTATTTACCCAGAGGAAAAGAAGTCGCTATATGAAAAAGACACTTGCACAGGCATGTTCATCACAACACAGTTTGCAATTACAAAAATATGGAACCAGACCAAATGTCCATCAATTGAATGGATAAAAAATGCGATACACACACACACACACACACACACACACACACACACACACACACATATATATATATATATATATACTGTGGAATACTACTCAGCCATAAAAATGGAGCAAAATCATGGCATTCTCAGTAACCCAGATGGAGTTGGAGACCATTATTCTATGTAAAGTAACTCAGGAGTGGAAAAGCTAACATCATATGTTTTCACTTATGAATGAGAGCTAAGCTATGAAGATGCAAAAGCCTAAGAATGATATAATTGACTCTGGAGACTCAGGGGAAAGGTAGGGTGTCACAAAGGATAACAGACTACACATTGGGTACAGTGTACAGTGTACACTGCTCAGGTGGTGAGTGCACCAAAATCTCAGAAATCACCACAAAACAACTTATCTGTGTAACCAAATACCACTTGTTCCCCAAAAACCTATTGAAATTAAAAAAACAAAAACAAAAACAAAATTAACCATCACACCAAAATGAGCAGAGGGATGATTATCCCAGGCAAAAGGAACTGCAAGCACAAAAAGCCCTGAAACAGGAGCAATGTTGATTACAAGAGCAGATAGGCAGCCGGTTTCACTGGAACATAGTATGAGGAGAGTTTTGCAAGATACATTTGAAGAGACAGGCAGAGGCTAAATGATGCAGGCCATGGTAAGGAGTTTGGATTTTATTCTGTGGGTGCTGGAAATCCATTGAGAGTTTCAAGTGGAGAGTGATATGATCTGATTTACATTTTTTTTTAAATTTTTGTATATTTAAAACAGGATCTTGCTCTATCGCCCAGGCTGGAATACGGTGGTTCATTGATGGCCCACTGCAGCCTCGAACTCCTGGGCTCTAGCAGTCCTTCCACTTGGACTCCCAAGTAGCTGAGGCCACAGGTGCACACCACCATGCCTGGCTAATTTATTTTATTTTTATTTTTTGTAGAGACAGGGTCTCACTATGTTGCCCAGGCTGGTTTCAAACTCCCAGTCTCAAGCTATCCTCACACCTCAGTCTCTCAAAGTGCTGGGATTATAGACGTGAGTCAGTACACCAGATCTCATGTAGATTTTGACACATCACCCAGCCACTCTGTGTAGTTGGTCTCGTGAGGGGCAAATGTGAAAGCAGAGTGATAAATTACACAGCAATTGCACTCAACTAGCTAAAAGACAATGTGGCTTAAACTAGGATAGGGGCATTGACAGTATAGTTTTAAATATGTAAAAGGACCCAGATATACATGTTCTTCTCCCTTCCCCTTTGACTCAATTATTCCCACAACTTTAGTCACTTACACACTTCCATTGGTAGAAGTGAACACAAATCTCTGCTGAATTAACTGTCTACTGTGTTAAATCAGTTATATGGGCTTAATGTATACTTTAGGTGAAATTATTATACTAGTTCAAATTATTCATCAGTTTAGTTTTTATACTTAATACCCACATTAAGGGCCGGGCGCTGTGGCTCACGCCTGTAATCCTAGCACTTTGAGAGGCCGAGGTGGGTGGATCACCTGAGGTCAGGAGTTCAAGACCAGCCTGGCCATCATGGTGAAACCCCATCTTAAAAAAAAGAAAAAATAAATAACCACATTAAACACAGTCATACTCTATCAATGAACCTGGAGAAAATTAGAGGGAAAGTAAAAACCTTTTCATCTAAGAGAAAGGAAGGAAAGAAGGGGGGAGGAAGGGAAGAGGAATGATTTTTTTTTTTTATATCAGACTTAGAGTTAAAAGACTCCTAAAATAAGAAGTCATAAAAACTGTACAGGTCACAGCCCTGCCAGCAACTTGTTGTGTGACCATGGGTAAATCACTTGATATGGCCCAGATCTTTACTTTCTTTAGTAAAGAGGTCAATTAAACTAATTGTTCTAGAATGTCTCTTCTGTTCTCCAAATTATTATTCTAGGAACCACTGTATGTTTTAGGAATGTTATCCACCTTATAAAATTCAATCTCTGGAGATAGGAGATAAATTATGAATCCTTATTTTCAGATCAGAAAGGTGGGGGTAAATAAAGGCAAAACTATTTTTCAAGATCCCGCAAGCAGTTGATAGTATGGTTTGTTTTATAATGAAAAATCTTATGACAGATATCCAGATATGAAACTTTCCCTATTCCTTTCAGCCCCCAAAAGTGTTTTCAAAATTGGATCCAACAAGGAAAAAAATATATACCTCAATTCTATTACATAATCTGCCTTTTGCTTGGCAACTTGAGATGATTTTGACTATCTATAATCAGTGCATAACAAGTCATCCAGATAAGCTAATAAGATATAAGGTCTTATATTGAGTCCTAACAAGTGCTAACCACCTTATTTTTTTATAGCTGTACGATTCTGTGACCGGTGCCATCTGATCAAGCCAGACCGCTGCCACCACTGCTCTGTCTGTGCCATGTAAGTGACGGCCATATTTCCCCTGAGCTGAGCTTAGCTACTGATGGTTGCCTAGACAACAAAATGACTGATCCTAGCATGTAACCATACCTAGATAAGAGCATTTCCTTTTAATCATAATGAGCATATGCCAAAACCCCTCACACGGATGACGATGATTCAAGCTACTCTAAAGATAAGTACAAGAAGTAAGACCACATTTTTAATATAAACATTTTATTTGAGAACAGTTTTAGACTTACAGATTTATTGTGAAGATAGTTCTTATATGTCTCATACCCAGTTTCCCTTATTGTTAACATCTTATGTTTGTATGGTACATTTGTTGCAATTAATGAACTAATGCTGATAACATTATTTTTAACTGAAGTCTACATTTAAATTTCCTCAGTTTTTCCAAAATGTCCTTTATGTGTTCCAGTATTCCATCCAGGATACCACATTGCATTTAATAGTCATGTCTCGTCTCCTTAGCTTCTCTTAGCTGTGGCAGTTTCTCAGACTTTACTTGTTTTTGATAACCTTGACAGTTTTTAGGTTTAATGGTCAGGTAGTTTGTAGAGTGTCCCTTGATTGAGATTTGTTTGATGTTTTCCTCGTCATTGTTAGACTGGGGTAATATGATTTGGGGAGGAAGACCATAGAGTAAGTTGTCATTCTCATTGCATCATATTAAGGGTACCTATAAACATGACTTATCACAGAAATGTTAATTATGATCATCTGGCTGAAGTCATTTGTCAAGTTTCACCACTGTAAAGTTATTCTTCCTTTCTGTACTGTACTCTGAAAGGAAGCCACTATGCACAGCCAACATTAAAGGAATGGGAAGTTATGCCCTCCATCCTTGAAGGTGGAGTAGCTACACAAATTATTTCAAGTTATTTTGCTTGGGACATTTATTTCATCTCTTCATTTATTTATTCAATCATTTTTATATCAGTATGAAAGCATGAATATTCATTTTATATTTTGTGTTATAACTCAATATCACTTTATTTATTTTGTTGCCCAAATTGTTCCAGCTTTGTAAACCCCATTTTTATGTTGATACATGTAATCTTCATGCCTTTCCTCTTGAGTGCTTATTCCACCCATAGTTCTCTTAACTTTGATTCAGATAGAGGCTATGTCTTTTCTTATATGTTTTCTTCTGTATTTTTATTAAACTAAGTATTGAACAAAATGATAGGAGACATCTTGAACCTTTTCTCTATATTAATAATCTGAAGTTCTCAATCCCTTTGAAAGGTTGGACTTATAGGCATGTAGCATGCTGCTGACATGATCCCATAAAGTGTTGTGATTGCCTCATCCTAGGGACAACTGAGGGCCATAGTTTTGGAATTACTATAGTGGAAATCTGAGAATGGGTGTACTGGAACCATGTAAAAATACTGGTGAAACTTTGAGTTTAATTATGAGGTGTTGCTTCATTTCCATAGCCTCACTTATCACATTGTATTTTGTCCCCTTTGTAGGTGTGTGTTAAAAATGGATCATCACTGCCCCTGGTATGTCTGTTTGATTCATTTCTCTCTGATAAAAGGGTCAAAGTTGCTCAATTCTATGCACTTTTCTAAGCATAGTTGTCACATGCCTGTTTCTACCACCATAATTCACTGGGTTTTATATTTCTGTAGGGGAAAGGGGAGGGGTAACATTTTAAAGCAAGAATAAATATAAAACCAAAGGTATAGTAGTGAATGCCTGGAGTTACAAAGCTAATGGTCTCCTATTCATTAACTTTAGCAATTGAGCCTAGTAACTAAATAAAGCACAAATATTTCTCCTTTTGACATTTCACAATTCAATTCTGTTTCTAGATGCCTTGATGTTTGAAATATTCTAGAATGTTAAATTCAGCAATTTTCCAAATTTTGTATATCAGACTCAGAGAGCCAGTCTGAAATCACCTAACTACAAAAAGAACATGCCACAACTGTACCAAGTGTAGCTGCTAAAACTATAATACATTTTTAGCAACCAGGATCAGTTTTGCTTGGATGTGTCAGGAACGAGTCCAGAGCTATTAGGTAGGCCAGGTGTTACTGTGTCTGTAAATGAAAGAAGAAACAAGTGAGACATGAACTTGTTTTTTCCAGTCTGTTCTTAATAAGGGACTTCTATCTCTATTGGGCTTTTACAAGACATATAATGAAGCAGCAGAACTAGCATGATTCCATTGCTTAGTTCATTTATGTATCAGTATACTCTCAATCAAGAGTTGTGGATTTCAAATTAGTTTTTCTTTTTTTTAGGGTTAATAACTGCATTGGATTTTCCAACTACAAATTCTTCCTTCAATTCTTAGCTTACTCTGTTCTCTACTGCCTGTACATTGCTACAACAGTCTTCAGCTATTTCATCAAATACTGGAGAGTAAGTTAAAAATATCCTGAAGGGTTCCCCCAGAACAAACGCACACTCACTCCAATTTGTGACATTGTTCACCCTCTATCTTTTTACATTTTTCAATAGCTTATACTGTTGAAGTAACCAGAAGATAAGGCACTAAAAACAGGTTTTCTATATTGAATACTCTGAGATTTAGGAAGCTGTTATTTAAAGATTCTAGTTAAGTTTCTGTTACACGTGCGAATCTTGCTAAGGCCTTGAGGAACCTAATCTCTTGACTCCTACTGATTCTTTACAGTGTATTTCTCCAACTGAGTTTTAAAGATCCACTTTTTACCAGTTACAGATTTGAAAAATGTTGAAACTAATTTTAAATCCCTAGTTTCCTAAGAAAAAGACTAACAGATCACTCCCCTCTTGTTAGAAAATACTTCCTAATTCCCTATTCAAAGGAGAGTTACAGAATTCCTACTGTTCAGAAAGATATATTGACTTACCTTCACATATGAACAAAATGAAATGGGGAGGGTTTTTCTGTTTTGTTTTGTTTTTTAACTTTGTGTGACAAACACTAGGTTAGCAATTAGAAAAATTGAGATCTGATACTGGATCTGTTACCTGCTTCACTGGCTCATTGCCAATATCAAATGAAACAGATGTTGAAAGTGCTTTACCTTTCAAAATGTGATTCTAATAATTATAATGAAATCTCAAAAAAGTATTTTCATCTACTTGAAGATATCAATCATAACCAACTACTTCCTAAAAAGAAAAACAAACTTAAAGCAGATTTTTAAAATTTACTTATGGATACAAGGCCCGGCAGAAGTATAGTGAAAAATGTTCTAAATTTCATACTAGTAGACCCCCAGAGATATCTCTTCCCCACAGCTCCACTACAATTACTAAGACATCCATGATAAAGGCTGTCCAAAGTGAACCTGAATATCAAAAGACAGATGTGGACAGAACTACTAGTTACTTAGGAATTGCACAAAAGCCTGTATAACAGGAATATCTCACCTCGAATGGAAACATAAAGCTCTAGAGAAAGAACACGAATTCAGTGACCAGAATATAGATTATAATAAACTGAAGAAAAAAGAAAACGAAGGCAATAGGAACCTAAATAGCCAAGAATATTTAAATTATTAATTAGTGCATTGATCTCTAGTAATATAGAAAAGATAGTGTAGAAAATTATAGTGATGTGTGCTTTCCATTTCCCCTTCAACTTGCTTAATTAGTTCAGATATTTAATAACTTTAAGAATAAGGAATTATATAATAGATATAATAATCACTAACTCAGGGACTCTACAAAAGTTTATGCAGAAATAAAACTTTTTCATAAATTTTCTACAAATATAAAATGCTTCATCATCTCTTCCTTTGTTCCGTTCAACAGCACATGATTATTATAAAATCCACATACTGAGCTACTACCCTGAATGTGAAGAAAATCTGCTCTGTCCAATCAGCAGGGAAAGTGTCAGCCTTGGTCTTCACTACAGACCTTTTTTGGTGCTTAACACAGTAGGCTATTGTTCAGGAACCACCTTTTACCATCGTAACAAAATAAACAATAATGCATTTCACACATTTTGCCTTTAGCCCACTTAGCCAATAATCAAATGTCATAATGCCAGCCAGGTGTTATATGCTTTTTTCATTTTGGAAAGATAATATTTGGATATGAATTATCTTCAGAAATGTGCCAGTATTCACAAGTAATACCAAGAGTGAACATAATCTTGTTCTCTTTCTATTCCTTCATTTTTTTCCCACAATAGACTACCTCATGCCTGACAGATGAGAGGCAAGACAATCTGTCCTGGCTTGTCCTAAAATGAAAAGGGCATTGGCAGTTCAGAGAAATGCTCCTTTGCAGTCTCTTTAGCCAGGTAACACTTCAGTGTAGTTTAGGGATGGCTTTCTCAGTTTAAATTGAATCTCCCCTTAAAATAAAAAGTAAACACTGCCATGTACAGGTATTGATCGACTTACGACCTATGCAACTTATGACCATTCGACTTTACGACCACAATCGCTAGCCACGACTGCTCCGCGTCTGGCAGCGCAAACGTTGCCCAGCTGGGCGTACAACAGTGCGGACCAGCTTCTGGCAGCACTACCATCTCCGCGTGCACCATTTCAACTGTACATATAGCCTACTCAACTTAACGACCAAATCGTGTTATGACCGGTCTGCCAGTCCCAATTGTGGTCATAAGTCGAGCACTAGCTGTATTTTGAAATCCATGTATCAAGGAAACAAGCTGTGCTCCTAACAATAGCAACCTTCATTTGTATAGTACTTTACAGTTTTTAAAGCACTTTCATACTCCTTATCTCATCTTATCCTTACCACAACCCTGTGAAGTAGGCAAAGCATTAATTATTAGTCTCATTCAAAGATGATAAAAACTGAGGCTTATAGTAGTTAAGTGACTTGCCTATGATTACCCAGCTTGTAAATTTCAAAGTTAGGACTTTGACCTAAATCTGACCCTAAGCCCAGTGATCTTACACACTGTACCATGTCCTAGTGCCCATTATGGCTCTGCTTTAGAGAAGCTCTAGCTCCATGGGAATAAAGAATTCAGAAAACCATCTGATTATTTCTCTCTTCTCAATATTAAACAATAGCTACTTTGATAAGAGATTGAGCTTTGCCTTATGCAAAAAAGTACTAATACATACCTCCTATATTGAGCCATGAATCTCCTCACAGAGCTATTAATTATTTTAGAAACAAGATAATAACATTATTCAGCCAGTATTCATCTGATCTGTCTCTGATGGCTATTGCTTTGAGTGATTTAGCTTGGCTATCTCCCGAGAAGGTGTTTTTAAACATAGGGCCATCACCCTCTTCTAACAAAAGAAAAAAGTTTCAGAATAACTCTTATCAAGGGACAACATAGTAGATATGCTTTGGCAGGCAGAAAAATGTTCTTTAAGAGTAATTGAGTTGGGGTGAGGGAACAGACTTCAGCTCAGCCACACAGACTGTGGATTGACTTTATATCAGTCCCTCTTGTCCAGCCATTTTCTACTATCCATATATATGTGAAAAAAATAAGAAGTGAGCTTTAAAATAAATGTGAGCTTTAAAATATTTTTAAAACATTCTTTAAAAACTAAAGATTGTGAAAGCAAAAACACAGACAAGGCAAAGCCAACTGCAAAGCAATATACAGAGTCTTTTCTATAAGTTCAAAGTAAAAGAAAACCCCCCAATCAAGTTCAATTTTGGTGCTTAGGCCAAGAATTTATAGAGGGATCATTTCAAAAAGGAGAGTTTCAGATAAATATTCCTGAAGATTGACGTTCTTGAGGGAGCTCTTTCCTGAGCTGCTCTGTCCCTATGCAATTTTCACCTGGACCCCCACTCAGCTTACAGCATCTGACTGGCTGAAGATAAGGGGAAGCATCCTTATCTTCATCCTTCAGTATACAACCTGGAAGATTCCCAATAGTTCCATACATAAAAATGAATAAAAATATTCTCTTGAGAAGAAAAAAATCTGTACTATCTGGACTTGCCAAGTATTGCCAAGCCTTAACTTTCTCTTTCCAAATTGGAGTAGAACTAGATCATTCGGAAGTTAAGGTCCACTTCACTTAAGAATCATATTTTTTATTACTAGAGAGCAATTAGAAATATTTCAAAGTGATTCATCACACTGAAACAATAATCATCACAGGGAATAAGGAAATAAATAATAGTCATTCCCCCAACTGTTCACTCCAAAATTGAAAATGTTTTCTAAGATTCTCTTCAGGAGATAAATGTTACATGCTGCACATGATACAGAACTTTATAACATTCATTCTGGTCTAGGCTGCATGTAGGAAAAAAAGGCTGGTGCCACATGGAAAATAAGATGTCCTAGATAACTATAAAAATCTGTAGCTACCTACTTTTACATTTGCCTGTAAAAATTCTGCTTGATTTTTACTGTCTAGACAGCTGTTTCACAGGATGTAATACACCAGCACATTCTACCTCAGCTTTAAAAAACAACCACACAAAACTTACAACAGCTTTAAAATCAGGTTATGACTTATGAGTAGGACATTTTAAAATTCTACCTATATGTTTTAACTTCTTACATACATCACTGTGACATTTTTAACACACATATGTCCAAGGAAACATGATATATAAAGAATTCCAGAATAACTTACACTGAGGCAAGAGGATAAGGCATATGACTTCAAGATCTCAAACTAAATGGAGTACAAGCTGTAAGAGGTTGCATGCCAATTATGGCTTGAGTATACCCTTTTTACATTACCCTTTTATAACTGGTACCTAATATACTCTATTTAACACTGAACTGCACTTAAGCAAGTATCCATTTTAGGCTTTGTAGGCTGAGAGCATACTCACAGATATCATGATTAATCTAAAGAACCATATTATAAACATTTTACAGAATCTATTTTTAAAATTACAGCTAGACATTTTATACATATGAAAAACTGCTAACCTATATATTTTTAAAAAAACTAGCCATGCTTTTCCACTTTAATCTTTTGTTTATTATTTCTTTTCTAGGGGGAATTACCCAGTGTTCGCTCTAAGTTCCATGTCCTTTTTCTCCTCTTTGTGGCCTGCATGTTTTTTGTCAGCCTTGTGATTCTCTTTGGTTACCATTGTTGGCTTGTCAGCAGAAACAAAACCACCTTAGGTAAGACTTAACATTAAGATTAGGAAAAAACATATTAATGTGTATCAGATTGACCTGTGGATTGTTCCCAAATATAACTTCCAGTGAAGGATTTTAGCTGCAATAACATCCCTCTACCCCCAAACTGAGACAGATGAAAATACATATTACCAAACTAGAAAGGCATAGTGAATGAAGCTTATAGGCTAATTATGATAATATTTTTTAATGAAACCCCACACAGAAACAAAATTGCCCATTGTATTTTATAGTGTATACCGGGTAATAGCTACCAAGGTTTATAGCTCAGAAGATTTCTAAAAGCTGTTCACATAAAAAAAAATTAAAGAAAGAATCAGTACAGAAGAGAATGTCAGAATTTATTATGCACATCTAAAAACAGAGCCCTGACAAAAAATCCAAACCAACCACAACAAGAATCCAGGTCTTGAGAAACAAACAAATCGGTGAATATCTGCAATCATCAAGGGGTTCTTAGGTACTGTGGGAATGAGATAAATATATTGAACAAATGATTTTCTAGAAAATTAGTGAAATAAATGAACATATTTTCTATCACTTACTCTATAGGCTATTACTTGGAAAACTATACTTCTGATGGATTCCAGTACATTTTATTTCATCGATGGTGAAATAAATATTTACATTGTGTACAAATCAGTACATGAGGAGTGAGGATAAAATATACAAGTTTTGAGTGTTGAATGTTTAGTTAGGATGGATTTGAGAAAAGTTTAGTGCATAAGCTACTACACATTGGGAATTTATTTGCTAATGATGCTAACAGCTAAGAAAGTATTTGCATCTATTGACCATGCATGGTGGCTCACTCCTGTAATCCCAGAACTTTAGGAGGCCAAGGCAGGAGAGTCATTTGAGCTGAGGAGTTTGAAACCAGCTTGAGAACATAGCAAGACTACATCTCTACAAAGAAAAATTAAAATAATCAGCTGGGTGACATTTCACAATAGCAAAGCCATGGAATCAACCTAAACGTCCATCAATGGCAAACTAGATAAAGAAAATGTGGTGCATATACAACATAGAATACTATGCAGCCATAAAAAAGAACGAGATCCTGTTTTTTGTAGCAACACAAATGAAGCTTGAAGCCATTATCCTAAGTGAACTAACTCAAGAACAGAAAATCAAATACTACATGATCTCACTTACAAGTGGGAGCTAAAGACTGAGTACACATGGACACAAAGAATGGAACAACAGACACTGGGACCTACTTAAGGGAGGGAAGAGTATGGGAGGAGGGAGGGGTTCAGAAAAAAAATACACTTGGATTCTATGCTTAGTACCTGGGTGACAAAACAATGTGTACACCAAACTCCCAAGTCACAAATTTACCTTTAAAAGAAACTTGCAGATGTACCCTGACCCTAAAATAATAGTTAAAATATTTAAAAATAATAATCATTAGCTAGGCGTGGTGGCACATGCCTGTGGCTGCAGCTCCTCAGTAAGGTAAGATGGGAAGATTGATTGACCCTGGGGGGTTCTGTTTAAGGCTGCAGTGAGCTAAGATTGTGCTACTGCACTCCAGCCTGGGTGACAGAACAAGACCCTATATCTGTTTTTTAAAAATAAAGTATCTGTACCCATTTTCTCAACCAAATACATATGTAGCCCCTAGTTGCTATGGTGGTAGATTAGCACATTTGGCTTAGAGAACAGCTACAAAGTGGAAAACCACTAAAAGCTTTGTGATAACAGAATCTGAAAACAAAGAACAAATGAGAAACAGTCAGATGCAGCTAGAGTCCAACAGTGAAAGCATTTGCTTAATGGGATTACTGTGTGTCTAAAAATAATGTGCACTAACACGATCCCATTCTTTATAGTCTTTGAAGTGATTACGGCTCACCAATTGATATTTTATCTGAAGTAAAACTCAGTTTCTTACATTGCAGGCTTCAGCATCAACACTTTCATTTTTGAAATGTTGCAAAACCAAATCAATGTCATTACCAACTCTTTATGTGTCATTACTTTCTTCCCAGCTCTAAAGATGGAGGCCATTTTGCTACAGTTGCCACTTAGATTCTAATAAAGTGCTGTTAAATCTGCTCCAATACTCTAAATTCAGCAGTACAAAATACATACTACCCCCATGGCTGCTTAATTATTTCTACCATGTATTTCCTCTGTCTTTTACAAAGAGAGTACTAATTCTTTGTATGCAATAACAAGCTTAGTTTGTGATAAGTGATTAAGCTGGTTTTTACTAAGTAATTTAGCAGTAACTAAAAATGAGGGGTCTGTGCTACCACAGCAAAAAAGATATCATAGAACCAAGACACATAAATGGAGAATTGTAAAATCATGACTATGCCGAAATTTGTTTCTTCATCGTTTTCTTCCTCTTTTCCTCAACTCTCCTGCCCTGCCTTAGAGGCCTTCTGCACTCCAGTGTTTACAAATGGCCCAGAGAAAAATGGGTTCAACCTTGGCTTCATCAAGAATATCCAGCAGGTGTTTGGAGATAAGAAGAAGTTCTGGCTAATACCTATTGGGTCCAGGTGAGTAAATATTACCAGTGGAAGAAGTTAGTGCTAGACCATGCCTTAAAGTGGCAAATTCAATTTTGATTGCAGTTTGCAGCAGGTATCAGCCCAATGTGAAACTCTATTCCTCAAATTATTCATTTCTAGGTTAGTAAAGACAAATAAAGAGGTGAGGATATGATAAAATAGATATTCTCATGCTTTCTTTGTGGCAATGTACAGTGGCACTACCAATCTTTTATAACTGAATTTGGTAATACCTATCAAAAAACATAAGAATCTACATGTCCAACATCTCAATAATTATATTTCTGGGAATTGAATCTATCCTAAAGACAGAAACAAACTATGCACAAAAATGTTCATCATAGCATTATTTATAGCCAATAATTAGGAAACAACCTAAATATACAATAATATGGGAATGGATAAATAAATGTGTGTGTGTGTGTGTATGTGTGCATATATATATTTATATATATATATATGCGTGTGTGTGTGTGTGTGTGTCTACTGGGTGGAATATTATATAATCAAAAGTAATGGTTATAAAGCCTATTTAACAAAAAGGGAAAATGCTTACTATATTTTAAATGCAAATGAAAAATCCAATACGCTGTGATTAAAAACATAAATATATATAGAAGAAAAACAGCAGAAGATAAATATACCAAAAAGTTAGAAATTATCTTTTCTCCATTTTTCATATTTTGTCATTAATGCTAATATTATTTTATGAATAAAAAATATAAAAAGCAAGAACAAAGATTAATTTAGAGGTTGTAGGTAATTCTTAGGACTGCAACAAGAATTCAGAGAAAGCAGTGGATGAGAAATAAACAGTCAAGCTTGTATTCTTTGAAGGACTTTGTTAACCAAATTGAACCACCATCAACTAAACTAACTCTGGAGCAGAGCTTGTTTACTGCCTTCTTGCAGCCCCCTTTTGGTCCCCTCCTTAGACAGGGATACATTTATGTTCACTTAGTTGAGGAAACTTTGTTGTGGGTAGGGTGGCAATTAAGGAAAAATTTCTCCTCCCCTTCATTGATTGCCTTGATACTTCCTGTATATCAGTTAGTATTTTGCAAGCTCGTTTATTTCAGAGATGTGGTGTATCCTACTATTCAGTTTATAAATCGCAAGGCAAAACTATGTCAGTGGGCAATACTGATTAATAACTGTTACCAGATATTACCTACACTCTATTCACATACTCACATACACAAATATGCACACATCATCACCATGTCAAAGGGAGGTGTAAAATGAGTCTTCTCTGGAATAAAAAACAAAATCAAAAATCAAAGCCCATTCACTTATAATCAGTATACTTACATTCTCTTTAAAGTACTATCAATAAAATCTGTCAACTTTCAATTAACCACATACATGAACAGGAGAAAAGGCATAGGTAACATCAAAAGTCATCCATACTTAAATTTGGAATGCATTCACATACCTAAACTGAACTGTTCAAACTGTAACCTAGGGCCAGGGCCAGCTCAGTTCCCTCCAATACACCCCATCCATTAGCGGCCAGAAATTAACCAGGGAGTTGACCCTAACTTACCATAGGTAGCCACAAAGCAGGACCCCACAGGTGCATAATTGCCCCCAAAATCTGCACTCTAGAGATATGGCTCAATCTGACTCTTTTACCTAGTTTCTAATAACCTTTCTGCCATGCAAATCAAATAAATAACAGTGCATTCAGGCATTGTCTTTCACCAATTCACACCAGCTTATCTCCACTGTATTCAATGTTTCAGAGACGGGTCATCTTTCTTGAAAACTTAGAATCAAAGCAATAAAATAATGGGATATAAATTGGTATCATCATCACTAAGTAATATGTACGAAGTTTGCTGTGTGTGCATATTGCCATACAGGGCATTTTGGGAAGCAAATTAAAGAGTTGCTTACAAACAAGACGTTAACGATGCAGACACACAAATAATATATGGAAACCGAGAGCACTGCAGCAACTAAATGATGCTATTGTAAGAGCCCATTCCACTATGGCCTTAGACATTAAGACTAAATATGCCTAAGAAACCCCCTCTTGTTTTTAAGAGGATTATAACCTTTACAAAATTCTATGTCAGCTGCAATAAGTCACTGCCTTTCTTTTCCAACTAGCCCTGGTGATGGACACTCCTTCCCTATGAGGTCTAGGAATGAGTCACAGGACCCATTGCTAGCAAATGAAGAACACTGGGAAGACAATGAGGATGACAACCGAGGTAAGTAGGGTCAAAGACTATGAAGTCCACATTAATAAAATCAATGTAATGTGGTGAGTAAATAGGGTCCAGAAAGACTTTATAAGCATGTCAACCTCAAGTGTCCTATGGATAGAGGAGAGTAAGTATGGCCAGGTTTATTTAGTAACCATGGGTAGTTTAAATAAGATTAGATGGCAGCTTGGGAGGTCCTTACCAGATATGTGATTCCATGATTTATATCACCAGTCAGATATAAACCTGGATATATATGGATTTCTAAACAATCCTGATGCATAGTCAGTTGTACTGCTTTGCTTGAAAGTGGAGTTCAATTTAATCAATGGGTAACAATTCACCTCTCTCCATCCTCCTTCATTCACACTGATTAAATTTTTTTAAATTGTATACTCACTCTCTTTTCAGTATAGTTTAAATACACTAAAAACTAAAAGATAGTAATGGGGGTAAGCCTACACATGAATGTAGTCTACTTTTCTAAAAGGAAGAGGGGCAAAGGAAAGCAAATTTCAACTTTCTCCCACCAGGTCACTGGGTCATCCTAAGGTATTTTGTAAAGAGCTAAAAGTTGAGTTCTCATGTAATATATCCCCATTGCCAGCCCTATGCCTTGTCTCCACCTGTTGCTGTGCCTACTTCTGTGCCTCCAACATTTACTTATGTTGCTAATACCAGCCATTAGAGAGTAGTTTGGGGCTACTGTTCCCAATAATGCAGTAGATGGCAGCAATTTTGCATAGGAACTTGTAGTAGCTATCAAAAACTGTACCTGGGGTGAAGGAGGCTAAATGAGTACGTGGAAAAGCACTGAAGTTGGAGCAGCGGTGGAGAGCAAGCCTTTCTAATTTTTTATCTAGTTGGATTACCTAGGCCCTGATTACCTGGAAATCTAGTTTTAGAGAAAAGCATGTTACTAGAGCCAAGGAATACAAAACAGTCACAAATCCATAGATAAAAAGAAAACAGTTCTTGCTCACCCCAAATAACTTACAATACAAGCAACTCCCTTACTTTCTCCTGCTGACTATTGGAAAATTCACTATATTTTGACCTATCTTCCTTCAGTCTTCAATCTTTCTGAACCGACTTTTACTTACAGCAGTCACAAGTGATAACAACCCTTATTTTGGTATTAAATCCAAACTCTAATATAAGCCAAAGACTTAACAGATCTTTACTTGGTTTAAAATAATTCACAATGGAAAAAACTATTCATATCTTAGCTTTGTGTACTCAAGTGGAATACTTAAAATGTAGATATAGCACCACATCATAAAGAGGTTATTTTTGGAAGCAGTCTTCAATTCCAGACCTTTTCAAAAATATTCAATTATTAAAAACTAGTATGTTATTTTATAGTTTGTAATATGCTTTCCTATACTTTTTCTTCATATACTTTGACCCTCACAACTTTCAGGTTAGATAGGCAGTGTTATTAATAACATCCCCATTTTATAATTGAAGAAACTAAAATTCAGAGATGTTAAGCAAACCAACCTCACATATCAAGATATCTTGATTCCAAATCCTGGGTTTTTTCCACTACAATGCTATGTCTCTCCTTTGGACAAGTACATATGAGACAGTGCTGTGATTGCATGCCATTTTGTTATCTGAAGCATTCAACTGCTTTTTACTTAATCATAAAATCACAGACTGTAAGGCGCCTTTAGCTTTAGCAAGACGACTATGCCATTGTAGATAGCTGAGGGGTTTTTTTTTTTTTTTAAGTTCATTGAAGGAGATTCCACAATCCTCCCTTGTAACACATTTTAGTATCTAATGCAAGTTCTCATGCTGTTTTGTCAGGTTGATTCTATATTATCTTCAGTTGCTCCCATTTTCTGTGCATAACAGTCATGTACAAACATTTCTTACACTTTTAACAACTTAGATTCCTAGGAAAGGTGCTGTAAGTTGAAATTACATGTGCATGTTGAACTTAATTTCTTTTAGGAAACAAGTCGAATTTTTATTCCTAGCCCAAAATATGACATTTCATTTACTATAAATGTACTTGTACATCCAGGCACAGTGGCTCACGCCTGTAATCCCAGCACTTTGGGAGGCTGAGGTGAATGTATCACCTCAGGTCAGGAGTTCGAGACCACCCTGGCTAATATGACAAAACCCTGTCTCTACGAAAAAAATACAAAAAAAAATAGAGGGGTGTGGTGACACATACCTGTAATCCCAGCCACTTGGGAGGATGAGGCAGGAGAATTGCTTGAACCCAGGAGGTGGAGGTTGCAGTGAGTTGAGATCACACCACTGCACTGCAGCCTGGGCAACAGAGCAAGACTCCATCTCAAAAGAAAAAAAAAATGTACTTGTACATTGCATAATGTAAAACGAACATTCTAAAGTGTATATAAAATTGTAAAATACGCTAACAATAACCTGTTAGGTACAAATATAATATCACGGGAACTACATAAAGCCTTCATGTTCTTTGAAATCCCTGCCTTATATTAACACAGCCAATTATAAGATTTAAAAAACACCTTTATGAAATTAAGGGATTTAAATAGGCTTCTATTATGTCATTTTTGAAAATTAAAAGGGTTAATGCACAAATATATAGAAAATGCATAAATCCCCAGTGTATAGATCCATGTAGTCTTCTGAGGAGAGTTAACAGGCATTTTTTTTTATAGACTTTTGAGAAACTTGGGGCTAAATTTTAGCTTTTTGAGGAAATGATCCAGAGATGTCTGTTGTTACCACTTTTGCTCATTATAAATTTTCCTGTAGCTTATATAACAAAAATTAAAGATTACAATATAACTCTTTCTGCTCTATTGAAATTGGGATCCATTTCCTTCAAATTGAATGGGTGGCATCTATGGCTCTACCTGTCATAAGTATCATGAATAGTAAGTTGGGTATGATTGTCAGGATGATTCTTAAATGAAAACTGCTGTGGGTCAGAGCCTGCCTATATGTGAAACCCATAAAGAATTTCTTCAGCTTTCTCAGGGTGAAGAGGGTAGGAGTAATCCTAGTTCCTTAATATTTCTTGTACAGCTGACTTCTCAGTTTTTTACATCTTTATGGCTCTGGTGCTGTTTTGAATGTTCTGTTCTTTTTTTTTTTTTTTTTTTTTTTTTGAGATGGAGTCTCACTCTGTTGCCCAGGCTGGAGTACAGTGGTGCGATCTCAGCTCAGTGCAACCTCTGCCTCCTAGGTACAAATGATTCCCCTGCTTCAGCCTTCCAACTAGCTGGGACTACAGGTGCATGCCATCATGCCTGGCTTATTTTTGTATTTTTAGTAGAGTCAGAGTTTCACCATGCTAGCCAGGCTGGTCTCAAACTCCTGTTTCTTTATTGTTTCCGTAGTAGCAAAGCCTCTGCCATTTTCCAAGTATCACTCCTTTCAAATGAGTTGCTGAACTCTTTGATTGTGGTCTTTTATTTGAGATGCATTATCCCTAGGAATCTGCAGGAGATAGTCACAGTTAATATTCTCTATGCAGTAAAGTCAACAGAGACATTGACAAAGACTCCAGAAGCAGAATGATGGTTTTTTCCATTTGCAAAGGAATAACTCTAGTTCTTAAATATGTATACTTTTTTGTTTTCTTTCATTGTAAAAATTAAAGATTTACAACATGATGTTTCAAAATACAAATATATAGTGAAATGATTACAAGTAAGCAATTTATCAAATACATCATCTCACACAGTTACCTTTTTTGTGTGATAAGAGTACTTAAAATCTACTCTCTTAGAAAATCTCCAGTATACAATATAATATTACTAAATATAGGCCCCATGCTGTACTTTAAATCTCTATATTTGTTCATCTCACATAACTACTTACTTGGACACTTTGGCCTGCATTTCTCCTGCCCTGCCTGCCTCTGGTAACAACTGTTGTATTCTCTGGTTCTCTCTTTGTCTTAGACGCCACACATAAGAGAGATCATGCAGTATTTTTCTTTCTCTGTCTTGCTTATACCACTTAATATTATCCTCCAAGGTTCATCCATGTTGTTGTAAATGGCAGGATCGCCTTCTTATTTAAAACCAAATAATAATCAATTGTATATCTATCCCAAAATTTATTTATACATTCATCCATCCACAGGGACTTCAGTTGTTTCCATAGCTTAGTTACAGTGAATAATGCTGCGGTAAACACGGGAGTGCAGATATCTCTATGAGGTACTGAATTTATTTTATTGGATGTATACACAGAAGGGGGATTGCCAGATCATATAATAGTTTTATTTTTCAGCTTTTGAAAAACCTTCATACTGTTTTCCATAATGGCAATACCACTTCAAATCCCCTTAACAATGGATAAGGATTCCCTTTCTTCCACATCCTCACCAACATTAGTTAACTTCTGACTTTTTGAGAATAACCATCCTCACTGGTGGAAGGTGATATCTCATGGTGGTTTTGATCTGCATTTCCATAAAGATGAGTGATGCTGAGCATCCTTTCGCACACCTGTTGGCCATTTGAATGTCTTCTTTTGAGAAATGTCTATTCAGGTCCTTCACCCATTGTTTAATCTAGGTTGTCTTTTTTGTTGTTGTTGTTGCTGTTTTTGTTTTTTTTTTTTTTTGGCTGTTGAGGTGGATGAGTTCTTCATATATTTTGGATATGAACCCCTTATCAGATATGTAGTTTGCAAATATTTTATCCTGTTCTGTAAGTTGCACTTTCAGGTTTTAAGATTTCAAAATTCCAATTTCTTGTTTCTTTTTTAAAATGTTGGTTGTATCACTATGAGGAAACCATACTTATTTTACTTAAAATTATTAAATACAAAGAATCTAGGAAACTCAAAATTGCACTGAGGTTTTAAAAATATTTTTATAATAGATATACATATTTAAGTGGCATACGTGATTTTTTATACATTCACAATGTGTAAAGATTAAATCAGGGTAGTTGGGATATCTGTCACCTTAAATATTTATCTTTTATTTAATAACATTCAACTTATTTTCTTCTAACTATATTGAAATGTACAATAGATTATTG